TTTAGAAGATAAAGAAGCCAAAAGAAGAAAAGGAAATTTATTAATACCCTCTTAAAATTTCCCTGGCTGATGTGGCTCAGTGGATTGAGTGCCAGCCTGCAAAACAAAGGGTTGCCAGTTCCATTCCCAGTCAGGGCACATGCCTGGGTCATAGGCCAGGTACCCCGTTAGGGGCATGAAAGAGGCAAGTACACATTGATGTTTTTGTCCTTCTCTTCCTCCCTCCCTTTCTCTGAAAATAAATAAATAAAACTTTAAAAAATGTCATTCATATTTTGACATATCTCCTTGCTTTTTTCATATTTCATAATTGCCGTGGACTTTGTTGCTCTCCCCAGAAATGCTGGTCATTTGTTTCTCACCTCTATTTTTCGCTTGATGTTAACACTGCATCTATTTAAAATTTGTGAAGAAGAACACCACAATTCTCTGGAGATGAGGTGAGGGCACCAGTTCTGACTTCCATAGAACATGGAGGCTAAAAAAGTTTTTTTCTGACCTGATTTGATAAGACGACCATGTTTACATTTTTTAAATTTTTAGCCAAGCATTCAGTTTATAGTTGGTAGGAATTTTTAGCAAGAACTCAGAATGGTATTTATTTTCTTTCTGTTATTTTGATTTTAGTTTACTTATTTTTTTAGCACTAGGAAAAGATCCTGATGTCACATATGGAGGACTCGTTTCCTTATTTTATGTATTATATTCCTTCTGACCTTTAACCTTCGTCATAGGCAAAGAAGAGTAAAACCAAAATGCCATCTCTGGTGAAGAAATGGCAGAGTATCCAGCGTGAGTTAGATGAAGAGGAGAACTCTAGTTCCAGCGAGGAGGACCGGGAATCAACAGCACAGAAGCGGATTGAAGAGTGGAAACAGCAGCAGCTGGTCAGGTAAAGAGACCACAGATGGGGGGTGGGTTGTGGTGAATTCATAGAAATATTTATCCATAAACACTATGGTTTAGCCTTTTTTAAAATCAGAATTATTAGAGTTGCAGTACTTTCTCCTACCAGTTGCTCATCTTATGCAGAGGGCTGTGTTTTAACACTCAGGATACCAGGAAAAATAACAGCCTCCATTTACTTCTAAATCTAATAGACTCTTTTAAATATACTTTTTAAAAGTTTATTTTATATATAATGTACAGAAGTTAAAAATAAATGGAAGAGGTGAAAGCAATATATTAGAATTTTTTTATTTTTCTTTAAGATTTTATTTATTTATTTTTAGAGAGGGAAGGGAGGGAGAAAGAGAGACAGACATCAATGTGCAGTTGCTGGGGGCCGTGGCCTGCAACCCAGGCATATGCCCTGATTGGGAATCAAACCTACAATGCTTTGGTTCACAGCCCGAGTGCAATCCACTGGGCTACGCCAGCCAGGGCTGTATTAGAAATTTTAAGAATTTAAACATAGCTAACTCATTTTTATTTTTTATTTTCCTAGTTTTGAAGGTATATATATATTGAAATGAGCAACATTATTCTAATGTTGCCCAATTGTCATGCGTAACTTGGACCATATTTGCCTCATAAATAGTGATGCCAGATTTCAAATTCATCTCTGATAGGTCTAGTTTATCATTCTGGTGTTTGAACTGGCAGTATCCATAAACACAGTACTTATGAAAACATTCAGTAGAAGATAGCCATTCTTCGTAATCCAAAGTATTTTCATTTTTGGACACATAAACACCAATTGAATTTGTTTCTACAATATCTATTTCTCTCAAGTCACTACCTATCTGCTTTCAGCATTTTTCCACTTGAGAACCGTGTCAAATAAATTTTAGCATGCAGCATCGTAAAACTGGAAATATTCCTGTCATACATCTTTTTAGGAAAATGAGCTGGTGTTCTTGTTACAACATACTGGGTGATGAAATTGTTCCTTTTTTTGTCTTTAGGAAATACTGTTTACTCGCCAGTCTTGAATTTGAGAAAATTTTAGAATATGGTCTTCTGGTCCTGGCTGGTATGGCTCAATGGATTGAGCACGGGCCTGCAAACCAAAGGGTCACCGGTTCAGTTCCCAGTCAGGGCACATGCCTGGGCTTCAGGCTAGGTCCCCAGTAGGGGGCATGTGTGAAGCAAATAAAATCTTTTTTTAAAAAGATAGAATATGCCGGGCTAGTGTGGCTCCATGGATTGAGTGCCATCCTGCAAATCAGTGTCGCTCATTTGATTTCCAATCAGGGCACGTGCCTGGGTGTGGGCCAGGTGCCTAGTAGGCGGTACATGAAAGGCAACCACACATTGATGTTTTTGATGTTTCTCTCCCTCTTTTTCTTCTTCCCTTCTCCTCTCTCTAAAAATAAGTAACTTTTTTTTTTTTTTAAGAAGAATATGGTCATTTTAACACATAATCTGAGATTTTACTTATTTGGTCAGTTTTATCATAATTAGAATCTACAATGCCACTCTCTGTCACTTTGTTTTGTATTTGTTAAAAAAGAAAAAAAAATGCAAATGTCTTCTCCAGACTTGATACATTATTTTGGGCAACATGATTAGAAAACTGAGGGATGGTATTAGTGACAATTTATTTCACTTTTGCATTATCCTTATAGGTGATTCCGTTATTCAGGGTTGGTTTGTTTTTTATTGTTTTAGTACTTTTTTTATTTTTAATATTACTGGGAATTCAGTAATGATTAATTCCTACAATGACGAAATAGCAAACTACTTAAAATGATGGAGGGAAATGCCAACAATCCTGTAATTTATCTTAGATTATTTTAGATTTTGAAAAGAATTTAGTACACCCATTCTGATAATTGCAAAATAGAATCTGAGAGCTTTAATTTTTTAATATTTTATTTATTTTTAGAGAGAGCGGAAGGGAGGGAAGGCGAAAGAGAGGAAGAGAAACATAAATGTGTGGTTGCCTCTCACATGCCCCCCTACTGGGGACCTGGCCCACAACCTAGGCATGTGCCCTGACTAGGAATCGAACTAGTGACCCTTTGGTTCAAAGACTGGTGCTCATTTCATGGAACCACACCAGCCAGGGCTAATCTATTTTTTTAAATGACCGAATAAGCCACGAGATACCACTTTTTATGAATAGAACTGGTCAAAAGAGAAGCTCAAAAACATTAGGTCTAAAGGTTCCTGATGGTATATTGAAGGTTAAATATATCTTCTTTAAAGAATCATAACTCCAGAGGCCATTAAAAACTTTGATAAGAATGTGTTTTATGCCTTTAATGTGGCTTTAGTGGTTGCTAAAGATATATAAATATATGCACTAACATACACATAAAACTATACAAAGTGTGTGTTATGTTTTTCATTGACCCATCAAAAGAAATTTGACAAAGAATTTTCTGGTACTTAGCTGAGGAATTTGAAGCATTTTCACACTTGAAACTTTCACATCTGTTTCAGTTAGATATTTTTGGTAGGAAATGAACAGTTTTATTCTTTTTTTTTCTGGTGAAGTAATCTATATGTTTTCTTTACAGTGGCATGGCAGAAAGAAATGCTAATTTTGAAGCCCTTCCTGAGGATTGGCGAGCAAGACTGAAGCGAAGGAAAATGACTCCAAACACATAGTTTTTGTTCTGTTTTGTTTTCATTCTTATTGATTGTGTGTGTGTTCAGAGTCTTAACATGTTTCACTGTTGTCAATAAACTAAATGCTATGAGGGGGGAGCATATGAATTTTCTGGGCAAGGACATACACACAGAGTTTGGCATTTGTGAGATGGGGTTTTTTGTTTTTTGCCAAAGGGTGGGGTGACTGAACACTTGGGTCTGGCTGCCTTTATTGTCACACTGGCAAACTCAGCATGCTAGTTACATCACCTCATCAGCCTGGACCGTGTGGCTCGTGAGGGTGACACCTCTGTAGAGGACCCTGATGGGAAGTGAGCAATTTCCCTTCTTGATGGAGGCCCATGAGGCGCCCCAGTGTGGAGCACTCCTACCCCGCTCCAGAACAAGTGCAATTAGGAGGCAGCTCTGGCCTCTGCCTCGCTTCCCTGGGGTGTCACAATCTCCCTGAACGCTTCCTCTGCTTGGCTCCCCCTGAAGTGCGGAGTTGGGTCGGGCTGCTATTTGCCTTGTGCTGGCAGGTGGCCACACTCTAAAACATATCTCGCACACTCTGGAATCGATGGCTGTCATTTCATGCACAAGATGAAATACTTCCATTTCAGTACCAGCAGCAGCACGTGTTCTTGTCTTCAACTTTGATAATCCCCCCTTTCATCTATGGCCATCTGTGTAGCCAGAGCCACTGTATGTTAATGTCTCCATTGTTTTACCTATTCCAAAATCCACCTCCCTTCTATGTGTGAACTATTTTCCATAAAATTCCAGTATTTAAAAAGCAGTTTACTGTTTTGTATTTTCTATTGTACCACAATCAGGTAAAAGTCACTTTAAACTGAAGAAAAGTCAAATTGTGTTTTAAAGCTGTTTGTATTTATCCAATTTCTGACCTTGTAAATTTGTATATATGCTCTAATAAAGCCTCTTTTTTTAATACTTTTGATGGTCTATTCTTTTACTCTTGGTAAATTTAACTCTGTGATTGTGTAACCAAGCCTTATTTTAAGTCAATCTTTTTTTTTTAAATCCTCACCAGAGGGCCTTTTTCGTTGCTTTTCAGACGGGAGGGGGAGGGGACGGAGAAACATGGATGTGAGCGTGGCACCCCTTCGGCCACGCTTGTTAGCTGAAGCTGTGTCAACAGCAAACGAGTTTGGGGTATGTTGAGGACTACAGGCTGTGTACTCCTCGGCCTGTTGCGACCGACAACCCAGAAGTGGTGCCAATCGTGTACGAAGAGGAGGACTCGGACACCGCGATCTTGCCTAGGCCTGCGATCCGGAGGGTCGCAGGAGGGTCGCATGCGGCCTGGGTTGCGGGCCAGGTCGAACAGCAACTTTTCCTCTTTAGGCCGGGGGCCTCGGTCCCCGGAAGCGCCCGCCCTCCCGCTTCCGCTTCGCGGTTGCTAGGTTACGCGGGCCCCAGTAGCCAGCGGCGGGTGAGCTTGGTTCTCGTGTCCGCCTGGTGCGCGGCGGAGTCTCTACCTGCTGTGCTTAGCCTCCCGCCTCGCTCAGGCGTTCCTGCCGCAGCAGGCGCCGCGCCCGCCCCTCCTCCGGGGGCGGCGGGAGCGCGAGGGCAGCGGCTCCCTTCCTTCTGCGCTTCTAAGAAGTCCACCCTGCCGCCCACCCTGCGAGTAACTTCCCTTCACCACCTTCCCCCGGACCGGGAAGCCCTGAACCCCTGCACGTTATTTTCAGAGCCCACTCTCCGAGCCTCTGGCCTTTCTTTTCCATCTACCTCAAACAAACTCGCCGTATCCGCCCGTTCTCATTTTTTTTTTTTTTCCGCTTACTTGCGGCTCCTGGAGGCGGGCATCCTTCTGCTCAGGGAGAGGGAAGCCTGCGGCCTGCAAACGACGGGCGCCTCGGGAGGCGAAGGCTAGAACACGGGTCGCCCACCCTAATTCCTCAGGTGTGCCTCCGCGCCGCAGAGGGAACCACCGGCGGGGGCTCTGAGCAGAGGCTGAGTCGGCAGGGAGGAGCGAGTGATGTGGCAGGGCGTCGTAAAATCGCACGGGAGCTGCGGGAGCAAAGGGTGGGAGTGGTGAATATGGGCAAGCTTTCCAGTTGTCCTGTTGTTGTTGTTTATCTTCTGTGCAATCAGCTGCCCATTTGGAACTCGGGCAGGAGCTGTGGCTAGATGCCTATGTGACTGATCTTCGGTGTGCCATACAGCAGTGACATGTTCCCAGCGCTGGAAACAGACCTAAAGCAGGAGGTGGGTACACGCCCCTCCCCAGGAACTCCGCAGAAAGTCAGTACAGTCGGAAGGTGTACAGCCTTTTTCTAGCTGGAGATCTTCATCCCCAGGACAGAATGATTTGTGTGAATGTCTTTCCGTTGGCTTGTTGACGGAAGTCCTCAGGCATACTGGCCTCCGCAACAATGCTTGTGTACCTTTTCTTAAGAGTTCAGTATTATTTGAAAGGACTTTCCTGATTTAAACGGCCTTTCCTTTCACAGACTCGTTCTGATCCTTATGAAGACTTTATGTACCGTCACCTCCAGTACTATGGCTACTATAAAGGTAATATTTTACCGGATGGGGACCGGGCCCAGAGCCGGTAGTGTGTGGGTTCTTGACTTCATGCAGGACAGATTTCACCACAAGGGTCTAGGTGAATTTCAGAGTACATTTATTCAAAGCAGGGACAGTGAACCAAAGGAAGGGCTTAGGGTAGAAGAAGCAACAGGAGAGAGCCAGGGGGCCCTGGAGACAGAATCAGGGGGTTAGCCGGGAACGAGCTGCTGGTGCCCAGTGCACCCCTGGTTGCAAGTCTCTTGGGGACCCTTAGAGTTTAGGAGGAAGTAAAAATTTCCAGTTGGAGAAGGGGCGTGGCCCTGCTTTAGAGCTAGCCACACTGGGTCTTTGGCTTAAGGGTTTTTTTCTTTCTTGGGAACTGGGGGGAGAATCTTAGGGAAGGGTTTCAGCAGGATATTCACTAGCTTTGCAGAAGTGTTTTTCATATGCTTGATGCATCAAAATAAGTGGATAGGGGAGTCTGGTGTTACTCATTGATCTGCTTTACTGCTTTATCTTGCGTCTGTCAAACTCTGATTGAGCTTGTGTTATTATCTGTTCCCCTGACTTCATTCTTTCTTGTGTTTAGCTGGCATAAGTGGCATTAATCGGGTCCCTGTCCCCTATCTCCCTGACCAGGGTGACATAAGCTAGGCATTCTCTGGTTATCGAGGAGTGGTAGCAACCATTTGCTCTCAGGTGTCCCTGGTTAGGGAAGATGAGGTTTCAAGACTCCCTAGCTGGCTGGAAGTTGTTCCAGTCGTTTGGCCTTGTTTAATTATCTGGTCTCAGTTTCCCCATTCCGCTAGCCCAGGACATTTTTCGGCTTCTTAGCATCCTGCTTCAGTGTCTTGTTCCTGTCTAGCATCGCCTTTTTTGGGTTCGTGAAGCAAAACATTTCATTAACTGAGAGAGTTATGCTTGGATCAACTAATAATGAATTTTTTCAAGCACCATTAGTGAAAAGTGCTTCCTTTCCCCATTGTCTGTCTTCCCTTACACTAATACCCTTTGTTAATTATACTATGTGACGTTAAAAGTCTTTTTTTTTTTTGCTTTAAAGCTTCAATATGCTGGATCATGGCATGAAACATTATTATTAACTTTTGTTAGTATAGTCTTAATATCTGGAAAGGTACATCTTCCAGATTGTTCTTCAAAAGTGTCTTGGTTATTCTTGCCTTTTCATATAATTTTAGAATTGACTTGTGATATTTAAAAAAAAATATTGGGATTGCACTCAATCTATAGACTCTAATTTCACAAGAACTGAGAATTTGCTGATACTGGGTTCTCCAATCTTAGGAATTTAGTCTAATTCTCCATTTACTTAGGTCTTCCTTAATTTCTCCCAATAAAGTTTTATAACTTTTATCATAACACTTCATATTTTATGCTATTATAAATTATGTCTTTTTAATTCTGACTTTCTAACTTTATTCTTGTCATTTAGAAATAAAGTTTTTACATTGACTTTATTACTGTCAGCCTTGTTCAACTTTCTTATTAACTGTTTCATTTTTTTAACTGATTACTGATTTGGTGAAAACCGTGTATCCAGTCTTCCGCAGAGCCCTCGCGACAAATCAGCTCCGGCACCAGGGCTCCGCCCCCACTCTGAGTACCAGCCTGCACTTGGCGAGGGCTCTCTCAGCCACTCTTAGAGCCACCAGCGCTCTCTGCCTCCCAAGCCCTTTATTTTTCCACTGTCCATGCTGCTTCTCAGGTCTTCTCCTTACTGTAAAATGGGGAAAGTGATGTTTAACTCAAGTAAATTGGAATGTGAAAGCTCTTTGGGAAAATGAGATGTATTCATTGTGAAGGCCTGTGGTAGTGGGGTTTGGTAGTGATGGTTTTGGCACAGAGCTAGATGTTGGAGGTGGTGAACCAATCTTCCAGCACCTTTAATTAAACCATCTTTTCTTAGTTCAGAAAGGGAGTTTACCAAACTCTGCCCCACACCAGCGTGTTTGGAAGAATAATCCCCGATTCGATTCATCTTGGGTGGCTCCTTTAGGGAAAGAGATGATTTGATACCAGACTCCCTGCAAAAGGAGAAGCTTCTGTGTGAGTAATAATCAGTGTGTATGAGCCCCAAACCCTCACTGCCGTGAGCAGCTGCTCTGGGTATTCGGCCAAACATGGCCCAATGTAGGAGAAGCCAGAGAAGCAGCCTTGGCCACTGTTCCTGACATCACTCAAAAATGTTCTCTCCAGCCCTGGCTAGTGTGGCTCAGTTGACTGGAGCATCATCCTGTAGCCAAAAGCTTGCAGTTTTGATTCCCAGTCAAGGCACATACCTAGGTTCAGTCCCCAGTCTGGGAGCCTACAGGAGGCAACCAGTCAGTGCTTATCTCACATGGATGTTTGTCCCTCCCTCTCCCTCCCTCTCCCTCTCCCTCTCCCTCTCCCTCCCTCTTTCTTTCTTTCTTTCTTTCTTTCTTTCTTTCTTTCTTTCTTTCTTTCTTTCTCTTCCTTTCTTTCTTTCTCTCTCTTTCTCTCTTTCTTTCTCTTTCTCTTTCTCTTCATCTCTTTCTAAAAGCAGTAAAGAAATGTCCTCAGGTGAGGATTTTTTTTTAATGTTCTCTCTAGATCTACTTTGGATTGTAGGTTTAAATTAAAATACTGAGCATGCTTGGTTGTCTTCCTCAATTGTTGGCAAATTTGTTAAGACTCTTTGCTCCAGAGTAAAACATTGACTTTTCTTCTTAAGGTTGTATTTATTTATTTATGTATTTATTTTTGGAGAGAGAAAGAAGGGACGGGAAAGAAACGTCTTTGTGAGAGCAATGCAGGCATGTACCCTGACCAGGAATTGAACCAGCGACCTTTCGCTTTGCAGAAGGGACCCAACCAACTGAGCCACACTGGTCAGCACTAAAACACTGACTTTTCACACAGTTTTGTTGGATATATTTGTTAAGGCTCTTTGTATAAGAGTGGTGGAAACTACTTCCAGCTAGCTTAAGCAAAAAATAATTTTCTACAGGTATTCCACAGATTTATTCCAGAATCCAAGACAGGAATTCAGTCAAATACATAGTCAGCCAGATATCAATTCACTTCTCTTTACTCTACGTCCTCCCTGTCCCCAGCCCAAGCTACCCATCATTTCTCACTATTGAAATAGCTTCATAATTGGTCCCTGGCTTCTCCTGTTCCGTCATGCCCTTTTCCAATGCATTTTCCACAAAGCAGTTATTTTTGGTTTTTTTTTATTTGCAAATCTGATTGTGTCTCTTTTCTAGTTAAAACCTTTGAATGACACAAGACCCAAAGCCATAAAGTAAAACATTGATAATTTTTACAAAAAGTTAAAACATCTGTATTGAAACAAGTACCATCAATAAAGGAAATCAGAAAATGAAAAATATATATATTTGTGACAAACACATCAAGAATTAATTTTTTAATATGTGTTCTTGGTTATGCTATAACAGTTGTCCCATTTCCCCCCCCCCCTAATTCCCCTCCACACCACCTCCCACCTGCATTCCCTCCCTTTGGTCCATGTCCATGGATCACACATATAAGTTCTTTGGCTTTTACATTTCTTATACTATTCTTAACCTGCCCCTGTCTGTTTTCTACCTACCATTTATGCTACTAATTCTCTGTATCTTTTCCCACTCTCCCCCCCACTGAGAACCCTCCATGTGATCTCCATTTCTGTGATTCTGTTCCTATGCTAATTGTTTGCTTTGTTGTTTTTTTGTTTTAGGTTCGGTTGTTAATAACTGAGTTTGTTGTCATTTTACTGTTCATATTTTTTATCTTCTTTTTCCTAGATAAATCCCTTTAACATTTTCATATAATAAGGGCTTGGTGATGATGAACTCCTTTAACTTGACCTTATCTGAGAAGCACTTTATCTGCCCTTCCATTCTAAATGAAAGCTTTGTTGGATAGAGCAAATCTTGGATGTTGGTCCTTGCTTTTCATGACTTGAAATACTTCTTTCCAGCCCCTTCTTGCCTGCAAGGTTTCTTTTGAGAAATCAGCTGACAGTCTGATGGGCACTCCTTTGTAGGTAACTGTCTTTCTTTTCTCTTGCTGCTTTTAAGATTCTCTTCTTATCTTTAATTTTGGGTAATGTAATTATGATGTGCCTTGGTGTGTTCCTCCTTGGGTCCAACTTCTTTGGGACTCTCTGAGCTTCCTGAACTTCCTGGAAGTCTATTTCCTTTGCCAGATTGAGGAAGTTCTCCTTCATTATTTGTTCAGATAAGTTTTCAATTTGTTACTCTTCCTCTTCTCCTTCTGGCACACCTATAATTCAGATATTGGAACATTTAAAGATGTCTTGGAAGTTCCTAAGACTCTCCTCATTTTTTTGAATTCTTGTTTCTCCATTCTGTTCTGGTTGAATGTTTCTTTCTTCCTTCTGGTCCACACCATTGATTTGAGGCCTGGTTTCCTTACCATCACTGTTGGTTCCCTGTACCTTTTCCTTTATTTCACTTAACATAGCCTTCGTTTTTTTCCTTTGATTTGCAACCAAATTCAACCAATTCTGTGAGCATCCTGATTACCAGTGTTTTGAACTGTGCATCTGATAGGTTGGCCAATCTCTTCATTGCTTAGTTGTATTTTTTCTGGAGCTTTGATCTGTTCTTTCATTTGGGCCATTTTTTTCTGTCTCGGCACACTTGTTACGTAGTAAGGGGCGGAGCCTTAGGTGTTCACCAGGGTGGGGCAACCCAGGTTGCTAGGTTGTGATGCTGTATTTGGGGGAGGGGTCCAAGAGGAAACGATGGCACTTGCTCAGCTCTCTGCCATATTTCAGTCACTTTCCCTGCTTCCCCCAAGCAAACTGGGCCTTTCTGGTGCTGATTCTCAGGTGGGTGGGTTTGCGTACATTCTAGGCCTCTGTGGGTCTCTGCAATGAACTCTCCTGTGAGTCTGGGGGTTTCTCCCACTGCTGCCTCAACCCCCACAGGTGTTTTCAATCAGAGGTTCTGAGGCTTTATTTCCCTGCACTGGAACTCTGGATTGCATGGTCTACCTCGCTCCCCAGTTGTTGTTTCTCCTGGTTTATTTATCTGCACGCGAATGTGCAACTGCCTGCTCTGCAATCCACCACCTCACAGGGTCTGCCAGCTGCTGCCTTGCCTGCTCCAGCCCTCCAGCCGCTGCCTTGCCCAAGTCCTCTCTGCCTGGCTGCCTGTCTCCTCCCCTCCTACCAGTCTGGATGCATATTTCTTCTTTAACTCCTTGGTTGTCAGACTTCCACACAGTTCAATCTTCTGTCAGTTCCGGTTGTTTTTTTGTTTTTAAATTTGTCGTTGCTCTTCTTTTGGTTGTGCGAGGAGGCACAGTGTGTCTACCTATGCCTCCATCTTGGGTGGAAGTCCAAATTAATTTTTTTTAAATAAAACCGCTTTTATAAATCAGTATACAAAAGATGACCAAATAGAAAACTATGCACGTAATTTCTAGAAAAACAAACACAGATGGTCATAAGCTTAATGAAAAGGTGCTCAGTTTTACCTCTAATTAAAGATACAAACCAAAATATCAAGGTCCCATGTTTTAAAGATGAGATCTGGGCAAAAAGACGAAGTGCCCAAACCAGCTGGTGGAAGTAGCACGACAGGGGGTCTCAGTTCAGGGCAGAACTGACGGCCTGGCACCTTTTCCCCTGCGTTGATCGTTGGAGAGAGGGAGATATTTTTTTCTTCTTTCTTTATAGCAAAGCATTTATTGTCCTTTTTTTTAAGATTTTATTTATTTATTTTTAGAGAGGGAAGGGAGGGAAAAAGAGGGAGAAAGAGAGAAACATCAATGTGTGGTTGCTGGGGGCCATGGCCTGCAACCCAGGCATGTGCCCTGACTGGGAATCGAACCTGCGATACTTTGGTTCGCAGCCCGCGCTCAATCCACTGAGCTACGCCAGCCAGGGCTCGTCTTTTTTTTTTAAACCAGAGAATTCAGAGGTAAAAACAAAAGTTACATTTAAATGATAGAAAAAAGCACAAAAGGAAAGCTGAACGCCCTCCTTACTCAGCAACCCCCAATGTAGGCACTGCTGTTATCATTCTTTTTTGGGGGGGCAGGGAATCCTTATGTGCCTATATATTTTTTCTTTCTTTTTTTCTAAGATTGTATTTATTTATTTTTTTAGAGAGAGGGGAAGGGAGGGAGAAAGAGGGGGAGAGAAACATCAGTGTGTGGTTGCCTCTCACGTACCCTTCTTGGGGACCTGGCCCTCAATCCAGGCGTGTGCCCTGACTGGGAATCGAACTGGTGACCCTTTGGTTCGCAGGCCGGCACTCGGTCCACTGAGCCACACCAGCCAGGCTTTACCATATTTTTAAATGTTTATTGTTCCTCCCCCCACCCCCAATTAAACATTGGGGAAAAGATTTAGAGATAGAAATACTGGGTCCCAAAGTGGGTCTGGGGAATGGAAAGGGTTAGGGGAAAGGGGGCAGAGAGAAGAAAAGACAAAGATCCCTGAGTCAAGGCCGCCTTCTCCCGCCTCTTTCCAGGGCCTCCCCGTCTCTCTTCCTCCGCTGTGCACAGACAGGCAGAAGCTGTGAGCAGAGGTACTTCGTGCCCCTCCAACCAGACACCTCCGATTCCTTGGTGGGAACAGGCCTCCCCCTGCTGCTCTCCCCCCGGAGCCGGGAGCGGCCGCACCTGGGGGCCTTCTGCCTTCCCCTCCCCTGGCAGTTTCTTTCTGTTCATGCTCCCTCCCATTTCCTTTCTTTTTCTTTCTCCCTGAAAGTCTTTCTTTTCCTCCCTTTTTTCTCACTCTCTGTTTCCCAAGAGCTCCTTTCTGTCCCTCCTGAAAGTATTCACAGTACTTTCCCACTCCCTTATCATTCTCTGTTTGAGAAGTCTCTCTGTCCTTTGAATGGTCACGTTACGAAGTAGAAATTTAATTTGCAGATTGTTTTAAAGAAAGCTTTATGTATACTTTTCTAAAATGCTAATGAGTGAATTGAAAGGTCCCTCTCTTGCCTCACTCTACACAAAAGTAATGAAAGGCATTAAGTAACTTTTTACTCATTTGCAACCCACTGTGGCAATGTCTTAGACTCATTAGCTCTGATTTTTTTAAAAAAGTTTCTTCTAACTTACTCTGAAATATTGAATAGACTGTGCAAAATTTTAACTTGATTTTTATAATTTCAGTGCTGTCATCCCCAAATACATCTCCTTGAAGGAGAAATATGTACACATGTACAAGAGAAGATTACACATCTGTGCCCATATTTTAATACAGTGCGTCCCGTTGCTTAGTTGTTCGAGTTGACTAGTGAAGTTCCCAAGAAGGAAGAGGAACCTGCTCACTCATTCTCTTGCCCTTCCACAGATTCTTTTGTGCTGAGTTCACCGCTTCTCAAGAAGAAACAGCTGCTTCACGATGAGTTTGGTGAAGCAAACCCACGTCTTCGAGAACCCCGAGACCTCTTTGCCTTTTTCTCTGGCAGCGAGCCGATGCAGGCTCCAAGATGGCCAATAGAGTGTGAGGTCATCAAGGAAAACATCCATCACATTGGTAATGTGGCTTCCGTGTCGTGGTCTTGCCGTCCTGACAGACTTGATTCCGAGACCTCACAGTTTTAAGTCCTTTGTTCTGAAGTGTGGGGCCAGACCTTAATCATTCCACCCTGAAATGATTAGGCTCTGGGAAACTGATACACACTCGCCAAAGTCAAAAGTTACACCAATATGTAAACTGGAATGTTTCTGAGTTTATTGGAATGGGAGGATACCTTGCTGGAGACCAAAATATATTCATACTTAAACCCGATTTCTGGATTATTCCCATCTCAGTATTAATGTGCACAGTTGAGTTGCATAAAAGTTGTATTCTTGACCAGCTTTGGTATAGTTGATGCACATGCCGCAGCATTGTTTTTACTGTTTTTCATTATATTTTTATTTTATTGGAGTTTTTATTGGAGTTTTTATGGGAGTGGTGGAGGCATTTTTAATGGCATTGCTGGTCATATCTTTGAGCTATTGGTGCAAATATTATCTCCAGCACTCCATTGATGAAGCCTTTTCAGAAGCGCGTTGCATTGAAAAGTGGGGACTTTTCTAGTTGCCAGGACACTGACGTCTAGCAGACATCATGTCTCTGCTGTGGACTGCTGGATAAGCAACAGGATGTTTCTTATTTTCTCACTCCCCTCATATAATACGCATCCAATAAATATCTGTCAAGCGTCTACCATACGCTAAGTACAGTGCTTAGTGTTAGAGACACAGTCGTGAACAAGGTGGAGACACCCTGAGCTCCCACACCGGTGGGGGAGTTAAAAGATGTAACCAGGCAGTTGCATGGAGCTTGGTGCCTTTGGGAACGCTTCACCCCAGCCTGGAAGATCGGGGAGGGTTTCCGAGGAGGGTTGAAACCTGAGGTGAGATCTGAAGGAGCAGCTAGAACTGATCCGATTGAGAGAGTCAAGGAGCAGTATTCCAGTTAGAGGAAATGGAGAAAGAGCGAGCGTGTCAAGTTTGAGTGACTGTGGAGCACTGAGCATGAAAGACAAGAAATGAAGGGAAATATAGGCTTTCATCAATGGCTTCTATACTTAAAATGATATTGAAAATTGCCCAAGTTGCATGCAAGAAATCTCTTAGAATTAAGTGTTAGTGAAAAAGCCTTGTTTTCTCTGAAACTATTGATATACTTGTTCCTATGTGGTAATAAAATGTATGTAGCCGATCACACTTTCCTGATTGTAAAAGGAAGCTCGGGGCCAAATTTTGAAGAGTTATTGCAGCAACTATATTGACCTTTCCGGCTTACTTTTAAATCTTCTACTTATACCTTACATTTTGTATTGAAAGTCTCCTCATAGTCTTATGGAAAGAAGCAAGACAACTCATAAACACACTAGAAATTTAGGTTCTGCTAAAGTGCTTTTTATATCTTTTCTTATTTTGCACTTTTTCAATGTCTTCTTTCAGACAGAGTTCCACCTCAACCAGAATATTTTTATCAACCTACAGGAAACGAAAAGGTGCCAGAAATTGTAGGAGAGGAAAAAGGCACAGTTGTCTACCAATTAGATTCAGGTATTGTCGTCACACTGAACAGTGAGTAGTTAATCATGACAGGGTTATAAATATTTTCTGTAATCGTGATTTCTAAAAATTCATAGTTCAGTGATGAATTGTCTTTTCCAAACCAACCGAAATGGGAGGCCGCCTATTCATGACCAGTCAGCTTTAACATGGCAATCTTTTTTTTTTTTTAGTGACAGTACCTTTTTCTTAATAGTTCCAAGTTCATTTTATAGCTTCTCCCTTGCTATTCCTCTTTCTGAAATTCAGATGTTGGATCTTTGGGGAATTTGTTCTTCTTTTCTCCACCTCCTATATATACTTTGGTGAGTACTTTTATAGTATGTGCATATGACTGTCGTTTACTATGTGGTTTCCTGCATGAAGTTGCAGGCTTCCTAGGGGAAGGCTCCGGGTCTCTTATTAAAGTGTGCAGAACATCGTACCCAACAAGAGCAACAAAATACACTTTCTTTTCACAGGCACATAGTAGACTCCCCAGTATGCACCATATGCTAGGTTGTAAAGCAAGTCTTAATACCTATTATTTTAAAGGATTGAAATGGTACAAAATATATTTTCTGACCACAATAAAATTCAATTAGAAATCAACAACCAGAGGACATTTGGGAAATCTGTAAATATTTGGAAATTGAGCAACACATTTCTAAGTAACCCATACATTAAAGATATCCCAAGGAGAGTTAAAAAGTATTTTGGAGTGAACATAAAACATCAGAATTTGTGTGATGCAACTGAAAGCATTGCAAGATAAATTTATGGCTTTAAATACATGTGTTTGAAAGGAAGAGGGAGAGCCCGAAAAGGATTGTGGGAGAAAGTCTCTTCCTTTCCGTCTGGGAGACACCATCAGGTAAGCCAAGATGGGTGCGTAGAGGTACATCCAGGAGCTGTGGAGGACAGAGCAGTCAGATGCAATGTGCTTCCTTCTCAGGGTATGCTGCTGGCAGTACCGCTTGCTCCCTGTGCTCCACAGGGCCCCCCGCCCCCTGCCCCACCTGGCCCAATAAAGTACAGCAGACTGTGATACAGGGTCAAGCAAGGTTATGTCATACTCATATATGGGATTCGTGGGCACCATGGTGGCCACAAAGGCCCAGTTTGTAAGGGTGCAACTACGGCAAGCCTGTCTGTCGTGGTGTTAGCCAGCGAACCTGTGCTCGAAGCCATCAGTCTGTTGCCAGAGGGCGAGCTGGACGTGACTGTGGGGCTCTGAGAGTCCTGAATTCTTACTGGGTTGGTGACAATTCCACATACAGATGCTTCGGGGTTATCCTCATTGATCCATTCCATAAGGCCATCAGAAGGAATCCTGACACCCAGTGTGGACCGGATCACCAAACCAGTCCACAAGCACAGGGAGGTGTGAGGGCCGACACCTGCCGGCAGCAAGAGCCTGGTCTCGGAGAGAGTCACAGTGCCACCGCACTGTCGGCGGTGCTCCCCGTGCCGCTTGGAGAGGGCGCGGTGCTCCCAGCTCCACCATTACCGCTAATATAAGTAACATTTGTAAAAGTATTACCTAATGAACAATTTAGGACAGTCAAAATGTGGGTGGGGGCAGGGGGAGCATGAGAAAGATCTCAAATCAATTACCTAAGCTTCCACCTTAGTCGGTTTGAAAAATCAGGGCAAAACAAATCCAAAACAAGCAGAAGGAAGGAAGTCAGAGATAATGATGAAATCAGTGAAACAGAAATCAGAAAAGTAGTAGGGAAAATCAAACCAAAAGTGGAATCTTTGGGAAGATAAACAAAATTGACAAACTTGGATTAACCAAACCAAGAAAAAAAGGGGAGACACAAATTCTCAAAATCAGCAAGGAAAGGAAACATCAACTCTTCAGAAATCAGAAGAATTACAAGGCAATGCTGGCAACAGCTTCACGCCAACAAACTGGAGAGCATGGATGAACAGGACCAATTGCCAGAAAGACACAAATGACCGAAACTGGCCCAGGAAGAAATTAGAAGTCTGACTAGATTATAACAAAGAAATTGAATTAGTAATTTAAAATCTTCCCACAAAGAAATCCCTGGCCCAGATGGCTCGACAGGGTTTGTTTGAATCATATGAAACATCTAATGAAATAGCACTAATTCCTTATAAACTCTGAAAGCAGAGGAGTTGGAGGGAGCATTAACCAACTCTCTTTGGTGAAGCCAGTGTTGTCCTGATACTAAAGCCAGACAAAGACATCACCAGAAAACTACAGATCAAGATTCCTCATGAATACAAATGCAAAACCTTTCAACAGAACACCTGCATGTTAAAGGATTATACACCATGACCAAGGCGTCTATCCCAGGAGAGCAAGGGTGGTTCACCATGAGAAAACCAGTGGAAACCCATTAGTAGAACAAAGCAGGTAAAAAAAAAAATATATATATATATATATACATCTAAGTACAGAAGAAGCATTTGACAAAATCCAGCCTTTCATGATAAGAACATTCAGGAAACTAGAAATTGGAGAGAATTCTCTCAAGTCGATAAAGGGTATTTATGGGAAAAATGGATAACTTCACACCCACTAGAATAGCTGTAATAAAAATATAGACAATGCTGGGGAGAATGTGGAGCAGGCGGTAATACTAACACTTATGACAGAAAAGAAAGGGAAGTAAGTGTTGAATTAATAATGTCAGGATGCCAACTTGGTAACAGGGAGGGACATGAGGAGGTAAGGAATCTGCTGACGGGCACCCTCTGTCATCACCAAAAACCCCTCTGAAGCTCATTGCACACACAGGTACCACAGCCCATCAGAACTTCTTAAAAGGAATTCTCTGCAGTTGGGGAAAAGCTGTATTCAAGAAATAGAAAGTAAGAAAATATTCTCATAATTTGAAAATCATCCCTACTAGATCATCATCAGAAAGGAAATGTGTTTTTTTGGAAGAGGAATATGTACTAAGTTTCGTCAGGAAAAATAGAATGGGTTAAAGAAAATGACATGAGGGGAGGCTTCTGGAGAAACAACCAGAAGAAGGAGGGAAGGTCCACACTGCCTTTACGCTCCTGCAGCCGGAAGGGTGCAATGAGCTAGTCACTCCGGGGGGCTCAGCTCTGCCCCCAGGGCCTTGATTATGAGCCCTCCTCACGGTAATAATTTGGTGAGAAAAGCTACCATACTTTGCCGTGTGTAGTGCACACTTTTTGGCCCAAATTTTTGAGGGAAGAAAAAGGACGCACATTATATGTGGGTAGTACCAGGAATACCTGTATCTGTTCTTGTGTTTTGTAATTATTTGTTACATCAAATTTCTTGTACCATAATATGTTCAAAAATAAATGCTAAAATTCCTTTTAATACCAAAAAACCAAGTATCTAAATAAATAAAAATTGAATTAAGTAATTGAAATGAAAGACTCTTTTTCCCGGAAGGTTTGGGGAAGAAACATAGGTGCGCACTTTCCATGGGTGCACATCACACAGGGCAGGAGTAGGGTCTGTGCAAGGAAGTAAACGAGGGGGAGCAGCTCACAGTCTGCCCAGCTCCACCTTGTGGACTGTCTGAGGAGGAGCTTGGGGGGCACTGAAAGGGAGATTAGAGATCGTTAGGCTTGGGTTACTAATAATGGGGGATGTAATGTTTCTACAACCTTAAGTAATTCTTAGGCTTGTAAGCCTATTTTACTGGGTTTGGAGTCAGTAAACCAGGTGCCCGGGAATCCTCAGTGCTTCCTCTGTTCTAGTCAGATACTTCCGCACGTCTCACGCAGGAGGGAACCCCAGGGCAGGGAGCACTTTGTCCTGATACAGCAGCTTTTGTGCGACGTCATCCTTGCTGTCCTGTGAACACACAGTTGTGGCAGCTGCCTTGATCTTGTCTTTTAGATTCATCAAGGAGAGCTGAGCCCACCTAACTGGTGGAATAAAGAAACAGAAAACTGAGAAGATGGGGCTCCAGAGGGAACTTGGGAGTTTGTCAGTTTAGGGGCCCCACAGCAACTACATGTGATGAGAATATTGGGGGAGGGGGGTACTGGTTTGATATTTTTTTGAGAAATATTCCTCTGGGCTATGAATTGGATCTTTAATGTTACCTAAGAGACTCAACAAAATACTGAAATTTCTTTATTAGTGGCATCCGGTTGCTGGTTGTACTCTGACTAGTTTCATGAAGAGACTGCACCACGTGGGTCCCCAGCTTGTACTGGGATTACATGTACTTTCAGCTGCTGCCTCTGCTCCTTCCTCTGTGCTCATTTTCCTCTTTCACTCACTCCTTTACGTGATGGATTTGTCGTCTGCTCTCACTTCTTACCCACATGTTTATTATAAAGTCTCCACACTGACATGTGGTTGCGTAGGAGCAAAAGTCATCATAGTGTTGCTGTGTTTACCAGTGAACTGGCTACTTGTATAATCAGGCCCCTCGCACATTACTGTGTGTTCAGTGCTCCAGAGTCAGCATCTTTGTTGGTGTCAATCACCTGCTGATTGGTGGATATTGTTAACATCTGATAATATAATGCACATAAAGTAAATAAGTGCAAAGTGAAATTAAGGTTCTTAACAAGAGATGCAGGATTTTATGAAGTTGGTAAATGTTACAGGACCGCTTGACTGCTTGACTCACTCACAAAGCCACTGACAAATGAGAACCTAGAAATTTTTATCAGTTAAACGGAAAATCAACAAAAGATGACTAAAATAGGTTCTTCTAGACATAATGATGAGAATATTGTGGTACAAACAGAAGTCCTTGGGAAAACTGTGAAGCCCGAAAAAAAGTTTTGCAAAAACCAAAGATGTTATGTGGCATTCTTACTGAATTTGTCTGAAAAGTTACAGCCCTACTTTAAAAAAAAAATTAACAATTGATTATTATTCCAAGTATTAGAGATTATTATTATAATCTAAATTTTTTTAAATAAGATAAAGTTCATCACTTTTTTGTTTTAGCTTCATTTTAAAGTTAAAATTTTAGATGGGCAGGGCAGGGGAGAGCAATGGGAGGAAAATTGGGACAACCGTAACTGAACAATAATTAAAAAATAAAATTAAAAACAAAGTTAAAATTTTAATTGTAAACTGTTTACTACTTACTGTGATATTTTGGTTCCTTATTTAGGGAAATTCACCCATACCAATTCTCAAATTTCTATTTTTGTTATATTTAAATCTGGAAGGATATAGCAAAAATTTTTATGGAGTGTACTACATTCTCTCTTTTTTGTTTTTACCTTCATATTTTTAAAATGAATCAATAGGTGCTATTTGTTGTGTGTTTTTAAATAAGATTGCAAATGTTTTCCGGTACTCCATTTAGAATATTACCTTTTGCCAACATCCTTTTACATTAGGGCTTAAGTGGGTACAAGCAGCATCTCTGATGACCAGGGTGGCCTGTAGCAAGAGGAAGTGCTCTAAACAGGCCTTCAAAGAAATACACTTTAAAATTAAAAGTCGCAGCAAGGACAGTTGAAAATTCGAATATTCACTGTCATTGACCTAGAACAGCACTGCTGAACACACGCAAGGGCACGGTGAATGTTGTGGGATGAGCGAGTTCTGAGAGGACCGTGTCTGTCCCATCTGCAGTGCCCGCCAAAGGTTCCTACTTCACCAGTGCCAGAGTGGGAGGCAAACGAGGAATCATCAAGGAACTCGCCGTCACGTTGCAGGGGCCGGAAGATAACACTCTCCTGTTCGAATCCAGGTTTGAGAGTGGGAATCTGCAAAAAGCCGTCAGAGTGTGAGTAACAGAGAGGGTTTCCCCAGAGGGAGGGTGACTGAAGTGACGGAGGAGAGTCCTAAGGAATCACCTTAGGAGTCAGGAATGTTTCTGAAAAACAGAAGGGATGGGACATGGTTATGAGGATGATAAAAAAATGGAAAGACTGTGCCTTGTATTTTCCCCCAGAATAAACATTTATCTAAATTGCTTTTTCTGCTTATAAAAGAAATGAGTGCTCATTTGAAATTTGTATGAATAAAAATACATAACATAAGATTTTGCCCTGGCCGGTGTGGCTCAGTGGATTGAGCGCCAGCATGCGGACCTAATGGTTGCCGGTTCAGTTCCCTGGGTTGTGGGCCAGGGCCCCAGTAGGGAGTGTGGGAGAGGCAACCGATCACTGTTTCTCTCGCACATCATGTTTCTCTCCCTCTCTTTCTCCCTCCTTTCCCCTCTCTAAAAATAAAGTAAATCTTTTAAAAGTTTTGTAAAAATTTTTGAGTCCTATAATCATGCTTCCCAGGTGCAGCAATTGATAACAATTTGATATATACTCATATATATTCATTTTCTCTATGTATGTGTAATACACACATATGTATTTTTAAAAAAATAGGGTAATGGTATGCATACAATTTTGCAAATTGTTTTTTCCACTTGATACATTATAGGTGTTTTTCTATGGCAATACCACAGTTATATCTCCTCATTTTTAATAGCTTATATTATTCTATTATATGGATATTCCATACATTATTTACCCTGTTCCTGACTGATGAGAAATTAAGATATTCACAACTTTTAAAACAAATGAACATAATTAACACCCTTGTGCCTGTATATTTTTATGGAGTAAATTCTGTTATAAAATTAGTGGGTCAAAGAGTTTGAACACCTCGGTGTTGCTAGTTTGGGCCACATCGCCCTCCGGTGTGATTTCAGCTCCCGTCAGCAGTGTGTGAGAGTGCGTTTCCCAGTGTTGAAATGTTGATGAGAGGGTGGAGGAAACATGCCGTTTTAATCTGTATTTCTTTAATGATGCATGTGGATGAGTATCTTTCCATGTTTTCGGCATTTGTATTTCCTCTTCTGCAAGCTAGTCCCGTTTCTTTTAAACAAGGTGCACGCATTCCAGCAAAGCCCCTTTATCCTCAAACAATTAATGATCAGAGATAAAAATAGCACAGAAAGCTTAAGGATCTGGTCCACACTGGTGATGTCCAGGATGTAGCTAGCAGCCCACACTAAGGGCTCCAGCTTCACTGCTTTTCAGTGTGTTTCAGAGAAATGGAGTGCAGTGGTTAGAAACTGCTCCTGGGTGTTCTAGAAAGACACCAAGAAGCTCAGAGCTCCCCAATCCTGTGCAACAGTGTGAATTTTGAGACTCTTCCATCCCGCCCCAAATCCACTTTCTTTCCCCAAGTTTCTGTTAGCCTAATACATGAGTTGGAGAACTGGGTAAATGAGAAAATAAATGTTTGATGTAACAAGGTTTCTGTTGGAGTAAGATCTGTTTTTACCAAGAAATAACAGTATCTTGAGGGCGGTGTTACAGAGATATTCTTCTGTATTCTTCATTACAGAGACACCTACGAGTATGAGCTGACCTTGCGAACCGACCTCTACACGAACAAACACACTCAGTGGTTTTATTTTCGAGTTCAGAACACCAGGAAAGATGCCACCTATCGCTTCACCATTGTCAACCTGCTGAAACCCAAGAGCCTTTACGCAGTAGGGATGAAGCCTCTCATGTACTCGCAGTTGGATGCCAAGACGCGCAACATTGGCTGGAGAAGAGAAGGGAGTGAAATCAGGTACTACAAGAACAACACGGAGGACGGGCAGCAGCCCTTCTACTGTCTGACGTGGACCATTCAGTTCCCGCATGACCAGGACACTTGCTTCTTTGCGCACTTCTACCCGTACACGTACACTGATTTGCAATACTACCTCCTGTCGGTGGCGAACAACCCCCTCCAGTCTCAGTTCTGCAAACTTCGGACTTTATGCAGGAGCCTAGCAGGAAATACTGTCTACCTGCTCACCATCACCAACCCATCCCGGACCCCTCAGGAGGCTGCTGCAAAGAAAGCTGTGGTCTTGAGCGCCCGGGCCCACCCCGGGGAAAGCAATGGCTCCTGGGTCATGAAAGGGTTTCTGGACTTCATTCTTAGCAACTCCCCCGACGCTGAGCTCCTCAGAGATATCTTTGTCTTCAAAGTGGTCCCCATGTTAAACCCAGATGGGGTAATCGTGGGGAATTACCGGTGTTCCTTGGCTGGAAGGGACCTGAACAGGCATTATAAAACCATTCTGAAGGAGTCTTTCCCGTGCATCTGGTACACCAAGAACATGATCAAGAGGTGAGAGCCCTTATCTGTTGAACCTCCTCTGATTACTGGCTAGTGGCAGGGGGTTGGGAGGGGTGAGGTCTCTTCTAATGTTGTGGGAAGTGGAAATGGCTTTGTAGACAGTCCTTACCATTCTCTTTGTAGTCACGTGTGTTTGTTCATTTTCCAACTTTTAAATCAGGTCTTATCTATGAGTGGAAACTGAACATGCAACATTTTAGCCAGAGATATTTCACTTAGAAGTGAAATGATTGGAAAAGGTCAGATGTCAGAGGAATTCATAGGTCTTCATGATGAGAGTTGTGTAATAATAGAATATAACAATTTATAGTTTTATATGAGATGACAGGCAGTATTAACAGTGCTTTATACTTATGACCCATTTCATCTTCAACTCATTTAATCTTCACATTAACCCCCTGGGGTAAGCACAATCAATATCCCCATTTTTTTATATAATGAGGAAATTAAGGTCCAGAAAGGTTAAGTAACTTGCCCAAGTCCTAGCATAGTAAGTGACTGAGTAGATATTTAAACACAGGCTCTCTGATTCCAGAGTCTATGCTTTTTTGGGGGTGGGGGGGATTGATTTGCAAGGGAGAGGGAGAGAAACATCGATTTCTGTTCCATTTATTTATGCATTCATTGTTTGATCCTCGTATGTGCCCTCACTGGGGATCAAACCCACAGCCTTGCTGTATTGGGGTGATGCTCTAACCAACTGAGCTACCTGGCTAGGACTGGAGTCTGAGTTTCTCATTACCATCTTATGTTGCCTGTCATCGAAGAAGGAATAATAAATCAGTTAGCATTTTTCAAGCCTGTGTAAAAGCCATGGAAGGCTATGATGTAATAGCACCCAGCTTAAAAGGGCTTCCATTTCATTGGAAATGAAACTCCAGCATACAAGACTATGTCAGTGCACACACCGTCTAACCATATCTGTGTGAAAGGGTGGAGTGGTGTTGGGCTGGGAGCAAAATGGTTAAGGGCATATGTTTGGGAGTCAGACACGCCTGGTTCTGAGACCTAGTTTAATTATTGGCTGGTCCTGTGACCTTGGAAGTCACTTAACCTCTCCCCTTCAGCTTTCTCATCTGTAGAATGAGGATAGTAACACCTGCCTTGGATGGTTCCTGTGAGGATTAAATGAGATAATCCGTGTAATCTGGTTAGCATAGCATCCAGCACATTGTTAATGGGTAGCATATTGTCATACTCTTCATCCTCTCGTTATGGGGCAGGTGACCTTGTTTGGAAGATTGTACAAGTATTCTGGGTGATCAGGAAACCAAGATCTGAGCCTTATCAGAACCAGCCCCGGGAAGTGAAGAACCAAGGCTTTCTTTGGTTCTTTTTATCCCTGCAGTTACAGCCTCTCTGCCTCTCCCCACTTTCCGCTGGTCTACACCAGGGTGGGGCTACTTTCAACAGATTTTCCCCGCTTCCTTGTCGCCCACCCCTTTCCACATCAGGAGTGGCTGGGGAAGGTAGGGGCCTTGGAAGGCCATCGGGAGCTGGAATTTTCTTAGAAGGGAAGGTATCTGCAGGCACACTTAAAGAAGAGACTCCAAATAATCCTTGATTATCCGCATGCATTTGGATGTCCACTGAGTCCTGTGTTTGCCCCCCTCAATAGACTTCTTGAAGAAAGGGAGGTTCTCTTGTACTGCGATTTCCACGGCCACAGCCGTAAGAATAATATCTTCCTGTATGGCTGTAACAACAGCGATCGCAAGTACTGGCTTCATGAGCGAGTCTTCCCTTTAATGTTAAGCAAAAACGCACCAGAAAAGGTAAGCATGTGAGGTCATTTTTTCTGTCCATCGACTCAGGGAGAAGGGAGCTCCCTGCTTCTTATATGTAGTGTTTGATTTGGCACTCTGTATCTCTTTTTATCATCTTGGGTAAATCCCAGCAACCTGACTTCAAGAATGTATTCCATGTCCATCAGCTGGTGAGCAGATAAGTAAAATGCTGTGCATCCACACGATGGACTGTTGTTTGGCAATAAAAAGACTTAACTACTGACATGCTAGCACATGGAGGAAACTTGAAAGCATGGTGCTAAGTGAAAGACAAGACACAAAGGCCACGTTGCCTGATTCCGTTCTGTGAAATGCTGCAGAGACAGACGGCAGCCAGCGGCGGCCCAGGGCTGCGGGCAGGGCGGCGTGGGCCGTGACTGCTCGTGGGCCCTGGGTCTCTGTGGGGGTTCTGAAAACGTTCCAGACTTACACTGCATCCCTGTGAACATACTTAAACCATTGAACTGTGTACCATAAACGGGTGGATTTTACGGTATGTGAATTACATCTTAATAGAGGTGACTTTTAAAAATTGCTCTGGCTGCTTTGCCTGGGCAGAGTTCAAACTCTCATTAATGGAGTTATCCATCATCTTGAATCCTGTGATTGGCAGTGGAAGCAGGGACTGGAGGACAAACAAAATGTTATTGATTGTTACGTGAGCCTCCACAGAAAAGTTCATGTAATGTGAGACCACAGGTAACGAAGACACTGAAGGGCTAGCGCAGGCAGCAGGAGTCTGTGACAGTCGGCCGAGCACCGGCTGGGCGGCAGCCGGGCGTATACGGAGCATCCTCATTGGTTCAGCACCATAAATGCACCCACACAACGTAACTGGCATTAGAAGAAGTTAGGTTGGATTTCAGAAAGTATTTGAATGATAGTACAAATTTTCTCATAGAAGGTGTTTGAGACGAATATTTTGTATCTGCTGCTCTTATTGTAAGAAAGAAAAAAGGAAGCTTTTCTTCCTTTCTTCTTCCCTTCTTCCCTTCCTTCATTCCTTTCTTTTTTCTTTTTTTAACATTCTTGTCCATTTTTGCCAGGGATCTCTTTCTTCCAATGAAATCACTTCCAGAGCCCAATATCTAAAGCAATGAGAAGCAGAGCTGCACTGGTGAGGAGGGGTAGAAGGCTGGAAACCACGGCCCTTCTGCCTCCTCCTCCAGTCCCTGGACAGCAGTGCCCCCCCGCTCCTCAGCAGAGCTCCTGGGCCCTAGAGACCTCGAGTTAGCAACCACTAGGTAGTGAGGGGTCTCCCAAATGTGAAGCATCTTCAGCAGGATGGCCAGGGCAGGTTGGGGTAGGTGCCAAGTGCACATTACAACTTCCAAGAGAGGAGACAATGTGGGGGTGGTCGTGAAAGACAATGGAGGACATTGAACTCCGAGCTGAGAGCGTTGGCAAAACGGAGCCAGAGAGTGAAAGGCAGAGACTGTCGTGCTGAGGCACTCACAGATCACACAGAGAGGATAAACCCAGCTAGATCCGAGGGTTCAGGTTGGGGTGTGCTAGAGCGTAAGTCTGGTGGTTCTGACCGGCGTGGCTCAGTGGGTTGGACTTCATCCCACAAAGAGAAAGGTCACTGGTCCCTGGTCGGTGCACATGCTTCGGTTGTGGGGGGTGTCCCTGGTTGGGGCACGTGTGAGAGGTAGCCACCAGTGTTTTTCCCACACATTGATGTTTCTCTCCCTCTCCTTTGGAAGGGAGGGAGAAAGAGAAGGAGAGATACATAGATGTGAGAGTGATACCCATTGCCTCTCGCACGCCCCCAACTGGGGACCTGGCCCGCAACCCAGGCATGTGCCCTGACTGGGAATCGAACTGGTGACCTTTCGGTTTGCAGGCTGGCGCTTAATGCACTCAGCCACTTCAACCAGGGCTAAATAAAATACTTTTTTAAAAAGAAAAGTCTTACAAAGGCTGTCCATTGCTTTCAATGCCAAATTTGGTCAGTGTTCTCAAACAGGCATTCAAAGGAACCCTAGTCCTGCAAAATGTCCCTAAGAAAGGTGGGTTCATGGCCAATGAGAAACAATATACTCCCTCCCCTGTGGAGGGTCACAGTCCACAGTAACATCAGCTGCTCTGAGAGGGGCTGGAGAGGAAGCCTGTTCAGTTTGTTAACCCTCTATCTCCCTGATGAACAGAACCACGGAACTCATGCTTTCCTCTGTAATATCTATTAATAGACCTTAGCATTAGTATTTTATGGAACGCGCTCTCGGAAACAATATATAGATCCCAAGGGGACCATTCTTGTGTCACGTTAATGAATCTGCTTAAGCATTTGCCAGCTTATGATTAACAGAGGACTTGGATTTCTGTTTAGTTCTCTTTTCATAGTTGTAATTTTAAGGTCCAGAAGAGCAAAGAAGGAACGGGACGCGTGGTGATGTGGCGGATGGGGGTCCTGAACAGCTATACCATGGAGTCCACCTTTGGCGGGTCCACGCTGGGTGAGCTCCCTTCTGTGCGTCGTGGGCCCGCGTGGCCGGGGGCGCTCTGCAGAGCGTTGGGGAGAGTCGTTCCCTTTAAATGTCTGGGTTGGGGGGCGGGGAGAATTGACCTAAAGAATTTTCTTGTCTGTGCCTCATGCCAAATTTGAGTACCCAAAATATGAGTGTGAAATATAATATATGACGGAGCAGGTAGCATAGTGGCTGCTGAGGACGTAGAATCAGGCAGATCTGGGTTTGAATTTCAGCTTGGTTTCCAAGTCACGTGACCCAGGTAAGTGACTTAACTCTTTGAACCCTATTTTTCTGTAACTGCCAGCAGAGCACCTGCGTTACAGGTACTACCTAATGAGACAGTGCATGTAAAGAAAGCACTTGGCCTCATGCCTACCACAAGGTACAACTTTGTCATCATGGTAATTATAACTTCATAATCATAGCCTTCGTCGTTGTAAACTTTTTCATTGTCCAAGATTCTCCGGAATCAAACTAAAACTAGAATCAGAGGTGGTGTTTTTAAGGAGATACTCATAAATTAGATTTGCAATTGCTCATTAAGATTTAGTAAGAAATGTTTATGGGTTGTTTTTTTCCAGGCAATAAAAGAGACACTCATTTTACCACTGAGGATCTGAAGTCCCTAGGTTATCACGTCTGTGACACCCTTCTGGATTTCTGTGATCCTGACCGAGCCAAGGTAAAAAGGGAGTTTCCACAAATGCAGTGCCCTGGCCAGTTGGTTGGAGCATCATCCCGTGGACCCAAAGGACACGGGTTTGATTTCTGGTCAGTTAAAAAAAAGAAAAGAAAAGGAAGCAAGAAATGTGGTGATGCAGCTACTGTGATCAGTTTCACATAGGTCCAAATTCAGCTGAGTGGGATTTCAGGTGATCTTTATTTCTTCTTAACATTTTTCTGAAATTTTTGTAATGGAAGGAAAAAAGAAAGGCCCAGCCTGCCCTCTCCTGGCAAATGGTGAGACTTCACCAAGCAGACAGCAGCCCTCCTGCCAGTCCCTCCAGCGCACCTCTCCCCCGTCGCTTCGGGGCGCACCCATGGCCGCTCCCTCCTTCCCTTTCTCCTGTTTCCCTTTCTCCTGTTTCGGAAAACCAGTCCTCACGAGTCTTCTCCAAAACCAGCTCTGCCCTTGGTGCATTTGCTGGCCTCCCTGACGGCCCCCGAGGTCTTGCCTCATTAATAACCTCCCTTTTTTTCTGTGTCCTCGGTTTTCCCCTCTTACTTCTTCCCTTCAACTGCAAATGTTCTCAAGGTGCTCCAATCCCAAGTCACAGAAGTTCCCTCTGGCCTCATTTCCTCTGCAGTTTGTTTTCCTGCATCACCCAGCTTCTTAAAAAAGGAGTCTGTACTCGTGGTCTCCAACTTATCTCTCAGACCCCCTCTGAAATGTCAGCCTTGGGGACACGTGGTGGGCACCCTCTCTGGATGCAGCTGCGTAAGAAAAAATGTTTAACGGAGAATTTGGCCGCAGCATGGCCTGTTAGATCGTATTTGCAATAGGCCAAAATCTGAACAATGCTGTTCTAACTTTTCCTTCCTTATTACTCCAAAAGAAACAAATAGACAGACCTTTGCGTTTATAGCCAAGAAGTGTGGTACTGGCTACAGCCGAGGAAACGTGGCTAAAGCAGTGCTTATGGGTGTTCTGTCCTGAAAACACTTCTGTGTGTTCCCACAGCTCACGCGGTTTACCTGGTAACGTGTCCGGAGTGGCAGACGTTACAGCGTCCTCTCCTCGTGTCCTCGGCAGCCAAGTGCCTGTTAGCATACACTTAGTATATGATGAATGAGTACATGAATAATCGGAATAAGTTCTTGTCTTATTTCCACAGTTCATGCAGTGTCTAGCAGAGCTGAAGGAGCTCTTACAACAGGAAATCCATAAGAAATTCAATGAACTTGGACAAGATATGGATTTAGGAGAAAGTTGGAATGACATCTCTTTGTCTGACATTGAATCCAGGTAACAAACCTCACTTCAAAGAAAAACCAGGAAAGTTTTATTTTTTTTAAATTTGTTTGTTTGTTGTTTTGTTGGTTTAGATGCAACCTCATATGCAAAATACCGAGTAAATCACGGCACGTATGACTACACTCGCTCCTTTGACAACTCTGTGTTGGCTGCCTGTTCTTTGACCCCGTTGTAGGCACTAGAAGGGGTTGGGGAGATGGGAGGCAGTTGGTACGGAGCCTTGTAGGCAGTTGTAAAAGCTTTTGTGTTTTATCCCTGTAGGGGGCGGGGGGGGAAGCCTTTGGAAGATTTTAGGTGGAGACAGGCCCTGACCGGCCCAGGTTTTAGTTTCCGCAGCAGTGTTCTGACTGCTCTGCAGAGACGGACTGTAAAGAGGACCTATCTCAGCAGGGACACGCGCTAGGAGGCTCTCTCAGTGGTACAGGTGCAAGGGGAAGGCGGCTTAGACCAGAGGGGTAGTGGTTGGTGGCGTGTGAATCGGTGGGATTTGAGATACATTCTGAATACATTCTGAAGTTTCAAACATTCGGATTTGCTTATGGGTTGAATATGGGGCGCAAGAGAAAGAGAGAACAACTCCACGGTTGGCAGGATGGGGTTGCCTTTCACTGAGACGGAGGAGGTCCGTGGGCTGGTGAAAACCAGGAACCCGGCGCTGGGTGTAGTCAGCTTGAGACGTCTGGTAGACGTCTGAACGGAGATGGCGAGTGGGCAGTGGGCCGACGAGTCTGGAGTTCAGTGGGGAGGGCTAACGGAGTTGTCGCTGAACAGACATTTACAGTTTAAGACTGGGTGAGATCCCAGGGGAGCGAGTGCAGAGAGAGCAAAGCGGTCCGAGTCTGAGCTGGTTCCACAGCTTTTGTTTTTAAAGATTTTATTTATTTATTGTTTTAGAGAGAGGGGAAAGGAGGGAAAAAGAAAGGGAGAGAAACACCAGTGTGAGAGAGAAACACCTCACGCGCCCCCACTGGGGACCAGGCCTGCAACCCAGGCACATGCCCTAATTGGGAATCGAGGCAGTGACCTTGTGCCTCAGGCCCAGCCGAGCCACGCAGGCCACGGCTGGTACCACAGCTTTACAAGGTCAGAGGGCTGGGGAGGAGCCCGGAAATATGACCAAGAAGGGATCAACCAGGCCAAAAAAAAGTCAGGAGAGTGATTATTTTTAAAACAAATCATCCCTGGCTGGTGTGGCTCAGTGGATTGAGCACTGGCCTGCGGAATCAGGAGGTCACTTGTTCAATTCCCGGTCAGGGCGCACGCCTGGGTTGTGGGCCAGGGCCCCAGCTGGAGGTGTACAAGAGGCAACTGACTGATGTTTCTCCCACACATCAATGTTTCTCTCCCTTTCTCCCTCCCTTCCCCTCTCTCCAAAAGTAAATAAAATTAAAATCTTTTAAAAAATCGGATCATGGCATTCCTCTATTTAAAATCATTCCTGTTTAAAACACCTTAATAGCTCTCCCAGTTCACTCAGACAAAAAAGTCTAGGACCTACAGTGAATGGACTACAGGGCTTTAGGATCTAGCCCCCTGACACCTCTATGACCTCTGCACCCACCCTCTCACACTCCGCTGTGGCCACACTGGCCTCCTCGCTCTTCCTCACACTTGCCAGACCTTCTTCTGCCTCAGGACCTTTGCACTGGCAGTTCCTGGGATACTCTTCCCCGAGATTTCCGTCCACTTGGCTAACTCGGTCACCTCCTTCACGTCTCTGCGCCAACGTCAGCACGTTCCACATGCCTACCTTCCTCACTCCGACGCTGCAGCAGCCGGCTCCCCTGCCCTCCCCTCCTGCCGTGCCCGTCCCCCTTAGGTGCTCTCATTTTTGTCCACAGCATTTTATCACCTCTGTCATTCTGTGCCATTTACAGTTTTATTGTGCCTGTTATTTGTTATCTTTACTCTCTTACTAGGATGTAGGCTCCACAAGGCCAGAGATCTTTGTTCTGCTCACCTCCGTACCTCATGCATCTGCAGCAGTACCTGGCACACAGGGAAAGCTCAGTAAATGTTTGTTGAGCTAATTTAGTGTGTAGGATCTCGGCCCCACCCTCACAGTCTCCAGAGGTATTTCGGAAGCCCCCAGGTGGGCACTATCTCACATGTGTGCGAGAACACCTTCTACCCCAGCTTCCCCACCAGGGTGCCTCAAGCCCGAACCCGATGCCCTCAGTCAGAGGTTTCTGGGCTGGGCGTGGAGGCCTTCTGCCGGGAGCTAGGCTGTGGTCCATGGGGGACAGTGGGCAGCGGGCCGCTCTCCCACATACTCTCTGTGGCACATTGACCTCTGGGCACTGCAGCTGATCTGCTGGCTGGGGCTCCCAGAAGTCTGCTTAAACCACATGATCGGGCCAGGTCAAGTGCCCGATTCACCAGGTCTCCTCTTCCATGCTCCCAGAATCCTTTGCCTGCCCCCCAGGACCGGGATGAAAACAAAACATCCCCTGCATATGAACGCACACAGAACAGCCCCAGGGGAGTCAACCCAGAGACAGCCAGACCGCTTTCCAGCGGGCTCAGCAGAGAAACACTGACACGTTGAGTTAGAAATGACTGAACCGTTTGCCAGCTTCTGCACCGGGAAGCCGGCTCCCACGAGCCCCCGCGGGGTGCCGCCTTTCTCCTCTCACCGGGTGACACAGGGAAGCAGGGCGCGCGTACAAGCCCAGCGAGAGTCTGCTCTGTCCGTGTGCGCCCTGCCGTTCTCGGCATTGCTGTGGCATCCTGCATCGAATGCTTTTATCCCATTTGTTGACGTTCTCTGTTATCTCTGAAAGGGACTTCAGAGACTATTATCCAGTGGCCTCAGAAGCCGCTCCTTGGACTGAAAAAGCCCTGTGAGAACAGGGAACTGGGACTTAGATCAGAGAGAGAGGGCTTTCTTCCCGCCGCCTGGCTGTGGGGCTGCTCAGTGTGCGCCGGCCTGCCTGCCGGGGTGGAGGGGCGGGGGCGGGGGAACGAACAGAATGAAAGGGCTGAGCGAAACGACGGCTTGAAATGCTGCCTCTTCCCAGATTCGAGTTTTGTGCCTAAGACGTTCTTTTGTATGCGGAGAGTGCCACAGAGCTCAGTCTCCGTCAGCGCCCGCCACACCCCAGGAGTGAGGAAAACACAATGTGACGCACGGTGGAGGGAGGAAGAATCGGTCATCTGAGACCTTCTTCGCCCCGGCCCTTGGAGAAAAGGGGGCGGGCACAGCCGGTGGGGGAGACTTCAGATCAGTCTACACACACACAGCCAAAACTGGTTTTTAGAGTTTAAAGTGCAAGTGAGTTTATTCGTGAAGCAGCGAGACAGAGAGCAGGTATTCCACCGCGGGCAGAGCGGCCCGTCCAGAACTCCTGAAGGGAGAATCGGGGCAATAAAAGTGATATTCCTAGTCTCTGACCTGTAGACTCTTCGTATTGAGTGTATGTGTTCATATACTGAACACGTTAATTTGGAGAGGACCTGGAGGGGCCTCGCTCTGGGCGGACACAAGCCACACGGGAACGACTGCGACCGGGCCCTGCTCTCAAACAGACCCCGGCCCCGGTGTTCTCCAGGGCCGCCTGTCCACTGTCCCAGGGCCTCAGGCAGTCACTGCCAAGGGCGGCTCTGCCCACCTGGCTGGCTGGTGGGGTTTTTTCGTTGGTTGGTTTGGTTTTTTGTTTGTTTTTTGCCACATGGATTGCAAACTCTCTGGGGCAGGGACTCCGCTATGTCCATCTGTTTCCTGTGCCTGATGCACTACCTGGCATTAAGTAGGCATTTGGAATGAATGAATGAATGAATGAATGAATGAATGAATATGCTCGTCAAGGATTCTTAGTCATTGAAACAGACAGTGCGGGCCAATAGCAGCCTGGATGTCCTAGCCCCACGCACCTGGCCTGGGAAATGGCCTGCTTCCAGGCATCAGTAACAGGCATTTCCCTTTCTTCTCTCCTTTCGAAAACAGCACCAGTGGTTCTGACAGTTCCCTCTCAGACGGCCTCCCTGTTCACCTCCTGAACATAGCAGATGAGGTGAGAGCAGACAGAGTCTCGCACCCAGGAAACAGCAGCCTTAAAACACCATGGCACTGCTGGGGAACTGGGTGGAATTCTCCAGCTGACCTAAGATCTGCAGAAAACAGAGCCATAGCCCTTTAACTGGTTCTGGAATCTTTGGCTTGGTCCCTTATAGCTTTTGTTTTAAAAATCTAGGGGGGAAAATGTGAAGACTCCATATTTATTCCAAAGTTAAATAAAAAATGGAAAAAAAGGTTTAACTAAAAGTGAAAACCATAGCAAAAGACAGAGGTTGCTAAAAATGACCCATGCTTGTTTGCCAGAGGGGAGGGTGATTAGGGGGCCGGTGAAAACGGTGAAGGGATGGACAAGTGCAGGTGGGTGGTTGCTGAATAGTCGCGGGGATGTGAGGTGCGGCGTGGGCAGCACAGTCAGTGACACTGCAGCGACCGTGTGTGGTGCTGGGTGGGCGCTGGAAATGCCAGGGGAGCCCTTTGTAAAGCATATGATCTCCTGCTCTAACCACTATGCCGTACACCTGAAACCAATACGAAATAATATTGCATGTAAACTGTAGTTTTAAGTTAAAGTTCTTTTATTTTAAAAAAAAAGATCCATATTTTTTAAAGAAACTGTTTCTTTATTCATGTGGTCTTAGGCAGTTTTTATCCTTTGATGTAAGTAACTTTGTTGCCTCATCTGTTCACAGACTTTACATAGATGATATGTAAGGTGATATTTAGAAACAGCAAGATATTTCTTGTGGCTTATTGGGCGCATGCTTGCCCACTTGCATTAAGAAATGTCCCAGTGGTAGGGTGAGATCACAGTGGCTGGGAGGAGCCAGCCAAAGAGACAGGACCCTGCAGTTTCTTCATCTGGGTTGACAGCAACGTCAGATTAAGCCTCACCACACCACAGGTGCCTAGAAAATTAGTCCTGAGCTTCATTTGCTTAACTATGAAAGCCGCCTTGTAGTAACAACCAAATTGAATCTTTAACCACGTGTCTAATGATCAGTATTGTCTGTACCCGACATTATTGCCGTAAGTAACCAGGTTTCATGTTACAAAGCACGGGTGCCTGGTTATTGGTGTAGGAGCCCCTTTGGCAGCAAATGTACGGTGGTGGGATTTGGGAGGTGTTAAAAGGGGAGCAGCCTCTGGCACGGAGGTGACGGAGCCGTCTGTTCTCCAAGCCGACAACGGTTGGACACCATGAGGGCCGCACACCAGGTTGGCCGTTGTGTCCTGAGTGTTGTGTGAAGAGAGTCCTCTGGCATCCTCAGTGACTAGTTCCCTGTACTTTCTGGAATAGTTGAATCAGAAGAAGAAGATGGATAAGAAGAAAAAAAAGAAGCCACCTCAGACAAGGAAACAGCGAAATGAACAGTATCAGAAGAACAATTTGGTACGGGAGTTGAAGTCCACAGAAGATGCCCTGGTAAGAAAGCTGTGCTGCCTGCATCCACCGCCGTCTGGTGAAACGGCCTCCCGTGGCGGGGCGTCAGGCAGACTCCAAACCAGAAAGGGAGCTGGTGGCGGGAGTGGGTCTTTCAGCCTTTAGGTCAGAGCTGTTCCCCGGTCCCTGGACATCTCTGTCCAGGGCTTCCAGCCTTGGCGCACCGGTCTGCTTCTGTGCTCCGGAATAGCAAGCCTGGGTTTTGACCGAGTCTGGATTTCCAGAGGGAAGAGGTGGAACAGGCTGGATAAGCAGTGGCCGGAGCTAGTCCAGGGTTGCTGGGTGCTGAGGGGTCAGGCCCGGTCCAGGCTGAAGACCCCTGGATTGCACCGTTCTAGGCCTTCTCCTCACTGCTGCGCCCACATTGTACCCTCTGCTTTCTAACACCGAAATTGCTTTCAGAGGTGGGAGTTTTACTGTCAGGTGAATTGGATGAGTTTTGAGTTAGAGTAATTGCAATGGATCAATTGAAAAACATTCTCTCTGCACTCAATCCTTCTAGGAGAGGGCAGGATTTGCTTCTACAGTGCAAAAGCGGTCTACCTTTTCCAAAAATGCAGATCATACCAGCTCCTCAACAATCCAAAATGAAAAACCAAGGCTGAGTGAGGTAATATATTTGCTGGACTTTTTAAACATGCTCATGGGAAATTCATTAAAACGTTTTGGTAACATATTTAAAGTGTACAGTGTGATGCTTTGATACGTGGATACATTACGAAAGTGTTCCCACCATTGAGTTAATGATCACGTCCCTCACCTTACATATTTACCTTCTTTTCTCTTTTGGTGAGAACACTTCAGATCTACTCTTAGCAAATTTCAACCATGCAGCACAGTGTTCGTAACTGCAGTCACCACGGTGTATGCATCAGAACTCAGGCTGTGGCTTGTCACCAACGGTTCGTGCTCTGTCGCCATCCTGCCCCTTTTCACCCCCCCCAGCCCCGGCAGCCACCACTCTGCTCTCTGTTTGATGTTGTTAGGTTCCACATGACAGGTGGTTCCATGTAGTGTTTGTCTCTCTGTGTCTGGCTCACTTCCTTTGTATAACGTCCCCAAGTTCGCCCGTGCCGCCGTGGACGGCAGGGTTTCCTCCTTTCTTATGGCTAAGTACCGTGCTGTCCGCGGACATTCCTCCCATCCAGGAGGCTGCCTTTCCATTTCGTTGTTGAGTTTCTTCACTGTGTAGAAGCATTTTAGTTTGACGGGGTCCCGCTGGTTTGTCTTTCCTTTTGCTGTCTTTGCTTTTTGTGTCAAATCAGAAAATCATTGCCAAGACCTATGTCAAGGAGCTTGCCTCCTGTGTTTTCTTCTGGGAGTTTTACAGAGTCAGGTCTTAAATTTAGGCTTCAGGCCACTTCGAGTTGAATCTTGTGAATGGTACAAGACAGGGTGCAGTTTCATTCTTCTGCACGTGGATAGTAGTTTTTCCAACATCATTTATTGAAGAAACGGTCTTTTCCTCGTTGTATATTCTTGGCTCCTTTGTTGGAGTTTAAATGACCACTTGTGCATGAGGTTATTCTGGGCCCCATATTCTGTTCCACCCTTGACCCCCCCACACACACACACACACACTCTCCGATGTTTCCAGTTAGCGTGTCTCCCCACAGAGAAAACAACCCGAGAGCCCTCCGCGTCCCCCAGTCGGCGCCGCCGGGAGCGGGCTGCATTAAACGAGTGGGGAGACTGGCTCTGCCTTGGGTTGGACGCCGCTGAAGTCTGGTGTCAGGTACTGGTCATTCGTGATTCTGCACCCAGACCACAAGGACAGGCTGCTTCACCATCCACCCACCCGCTCGTTCAACAGACTGTGCAGCTGGCTGCCGTATGCCGGGCCCTCCGCTAGGAGTCGGGACCAGGACAGGGAGCAAAACACTGACCCTGTCAGGGACCTTGGGGAGTTCAACACGCGAACAGCCAGTGACATAGCAGGATCGGGTGCAGGGAACGCAGAGGAGAAGCAACTCACCAACCTTTAGTGCTCTGGAGTTTTGTGGCTGTGAAATCCTTGATTCTTTTGTGTGTAAAAATAGGTTTGGGTACATAGCTAATTCTCCGCGGATAGGGTGCACAGTCAGCCCTCCTCAGGTGGAAGGCTGCCCTGAGAATGACAGTGACGCAACAAGGTCCCACTGCATTAGTCGAGGAACCCTCACAGGGCACAGCCATCTCTGTTCGGTGTCAAGGGACATCGGGGTCTAGTGTAATAGTGACAAGGCCATGAGCTTTGAGGTCTGTCTTGTGTTAAAATGACACTCCTGCCCTGGCTGATGTAGCTCAGTACACTGAGCGCTGGCCTGCGAACCAAAGGGTCACCAGTTCGATTCCCAGTCAGGGCACATGCCTGGGTTGCCGGCCAGGCCCCCAGTAGGGGGCGTACCAGAGGCAACCACACGTTGATGTTTCTCTCTCTTTCTTCCTTTCCCTCTCTCTAAAAATAATAGATACTCTTTTTTAAAAATGCCACCCCTACTATTAATTTTCCACAAGCTACTTAGTCACCTTGGGGCTCCTTTTCCACATCTAAAATATTGGGGAAATAATATCTACATCACAAGGTTGGCTGAGAAAATCAGATATGAAACTGTGTAAAGTGCCTAGCATATGGTGGGCATTCAATAAGCACTAGTTTCCTTCTTTTCTTTGAATTATTTGTGCCCCACCCCTCTTTTGGTGTCAGAGTATCGTGATGAATAAAAACAGTCAAACAATGTAGGTTTTACATAACCACACCTGTCCAAGTGGAAGTGTTGATGAGGATGTGTTTGTGTGTTTTAGTCCCGGTTACGTGGAAGAGACAAAGGCCTCTCCCTGGACGCATCAGAGGCAACCGCCTTGGTTCTGACTAAGAGTAAAGACAGAGTGCAGGTATGTCACGTAATGTATGCACACACACATCCATGCCAGTGACTTACTTTACTTGGGGCTTTTTGTTGTTGTTTTGAGGATACATTTATTAAAGCCGGGACAGAGAAGCAAGGGCGGGCTTCGGAGAGAAGCGGCAGCAGGAGAGCCGGGGCGCGGCTGCTTTGACTCCACGCAAACGTTAAGGGGGAGAGAAGGGAGCCCGGGCGGGGCTGCTGTCCGCTCCCTGGGAGGCCAGAGGAAAGGGGGCCTCGGAGACTCATTCTGGAGTTCTGCTGCCACTGTTCCTCGGCTTGCCCGTCCCATGGGGGCCCCGGAGTTTTTTCTTTTTTCTTTTTTTTCTTTTTTTTTAATAGTAAATGAAGGGCGTTTTTTAAAAGATTTTATTTATTTATTTTTAGAGAGGGAAGGGAGGGAGAGAGACAGAGAGAGAAACATCATGTGCGGTTGCTGGGGGTCATGGCCTGCAACCCAGGCATGTACCCTGACTGGGAATCGAACCTGCGACACTTTGGTTCACAGCCCGCGCTCAATCCACTGAGCTAGGCCAGCCAGGGGTTCTTTTTTCCAGTACACGCCCAAGAGAGGAGTACAGGCACCGTGAGCACGCACTTTATCTGGTTTTGAAATGTATTCTGTGATAGGGAGGGGTAGGTGCTCCACAGTCCCCAGTTTCACTGCCTCAGGTTTGTTCTCCTCTGGTGAACACCCAAAGTAATTTGCACCTCAGGCTGCACCCCACCTGACCTCCCTGAGGCACAGCCCGCCCGCTCAGACTTGAACTACAACTGGGGCTCCCCAGTCAGCTACAGCGTGGCTCACATGCGGTGGCACAGCGATCGTTACCTACTGAGCTCCGCGTGTGGTTTGCTTTTTCAGAAGAGTGAGTGAGCAGGAGTTCACGTTTCCTCCTACAATATCACTCTTGCTCGCTGGGACTTGGGTGTTCTTTCCTTAAAGGGAGGAAATGGAGGTGGACACGCAGCGAGGGAGCTGTCGTTTCAGACGGCGCCGGTGCCTCTGTGGGGGGCAGGGGTGCTGCTCACAGGTGTCCAGGCAGAGACCGGCCACCACCGGGTCATGCAAGTGTCCCAGCTGTGCACCCAGATCCCCAGTTCCCCCGAGGTGTGGTCCCTGCTGTCTTCTCCAGCCTGCTGCTTGACAGTTGTCAGGCTGATGTTCTCGTCACCCAACAGTATCTTAGGGAGAACCCACCAGGCTCGGGGCCCTTCGGGAACAGCAAGACCTGTGCCTCCCTTAGGCAGTGATCCTCTGCAAGGGGGTGGCTGGTCATCCAACCCGCTGGTAGAACAGAAGCTGAAGAGCAATGAAAAGAGAGGTTTAAATAAAGTCAAATCAGAGAGGGCATCTCTCCTGACAGACCAATAAGTGATGAACTCGTCCTTTTTCCTCATTCAGCACGTATTACAAGAAGTCTTGTAATGGTGGCTAAAACCATATCCCGCAACCGAAACACGCTAGTTAAGCTGTGACAACGGGTAACTAGGGTTCCAGTTAAACCCGGTGCACAGGGTCAATGCCATCCAAAGCTGTGCCTTCGCTTCCTTTTCCTGAAGTTCCCAGGATCCCATTTCTCTAACAGAGACGTAGGCCTTTGACTTCCAGATGGCTTACTGACTGCCGTCCCCGAACTTCTCAGAGCAGTTAAAACGGTGCCACCGACCTCGGGCGCTCTGAGGGACTGGGCCCGAGCTTGGTTCACTTCTGCCCTCCAGCCACGGCTCTGGTTTTGGGGGGGAGCAGCTACTTCTCACTGACTCCTTGTGAAACCACCCAAATCCTTGCTCTAGCTCTACAAATGGCAACACAGAGTGAGCTCAACTCTTACATCTTGTTTGCACAGAGAGAAAAGCCAGGACACACCACGGCCTGCTCTCCAAAGACGAGCATGACCCCCAGCCGAGAGCCCGCTCCAGACGCAACGCAGAGGTGGCTCCGGAACAGGCTTCTGGCCCCAAGGAGACGCCGAGCCACCATGGTGGTGTACCCGTCCTTGCACGTCTACACGTACCCGTAGGCGCCTGGGCCGCGCCCCCATGCTCCCTCGGCGTGTTTCGGGTCGGACACTTTTTGTGAAGAGGGGAGTGGAGTGGTGTGGCTGGTGGGCACTCTCATCATAACGCGCTGGGTCGTGTGTTCGTGTGCACCGACCTCCCACTGTGTGCGCACACTGTGTGCACGCCTGCGAGATGCGGACCTCATGCATTACATTATTTTTCACAAAATGGAGTTTCGTGATAATGAATAAAAAAGCTTTATCAGAAGTTGAATGTGTGCTTATGGAACTACATAGCACAGATATACCTCATTTTAGCCAATAGATATTCTCTCTAAGATTATGTGAAAATCAATTTTAGAAGATCAAACTCTGTTCCAAACACATTCTGGGAGCGTGCCGTGTTCAGAACGTCTGTGTCGGAGCTGCCCGGCGAAGAGGCAGGGCCAGTCAGACGGCGGGGTCCCGGGCTCGCTCAGGGTGAGGTGTTCCCAGGTGCAGAAAACAGCCCGTGTATTACCCGGAATTTGATGTTGCATATATTGTGTTCCACGCGGTTATGTAAGTTTTTAAACCCAGTGATTAAAATTCTTTCTCTGTAACCAGTTGTTCCCATTGATTGGTTCACTGCATAATCTTAGGTGAACAGACACTGCACACCCCTCACAAGCAGCGCCCGCCTTCTGCGGCCCGTCCTGTCGACGTGCTGGGGTCACGTTAAATGAGGGTCACTCCGGGTCATGCCCGGCCTCCTGTTTGACTTCACCTTCTTCCCGAAGTTCTTCATTATCACGTTTAAACTCTTGCAGCCACCACCTCGACCCGGGGGCCAGCGATTAGAACCACATGGCAATACAGATTTTATTACAATCCCAGTATCTGTCTTTAGAAACAAATTACTGGAGTTCATCCGGAGAACAGTTTCAGATTTACAGATAATTGGACAGATAGTACAGAGTTCCCATGTGTGCTGCCCCCCCCTCCCCCTCCCACCACCCACACAGGCCGTGCCCGTCTTTCTCTTCTGTGTTTTCCCCCCCCGCGGTCCCCTTACAATCGCCACACCGTTGTCCACGTCCATGAGTCCTTTGTCCTCTTTGCTCAATCCCTCCGCCCCCTAACCTCCCCCTCACCTTAGCTGTCATGCTGCTCTCTGAGTCTGTCTCCGTTTTCCTTGTTAGTTCAGTTTGTTCATGAGGTTCCACATATGAATGAAATCATATGATATTTGACTTTTTCTGACTGGCTTATTTCACTCAGCACCATGCTCTCTATCCATCCACGCTGTCTCAAAGGGTAAAAATTTCTTCTTTTTTACAGCCAAGTTGAATACCATTATGTAAATGTCCCATAGTCGTTTTATCCACTCATCTACTGATGGACACTTGGGCTGCCTCCATATCTTGACGATTATAAACAATGCTGCAGTGAACATAGAGGTGCTTATGTTCTTTCAAATTAGTGCTTTGGGTTCCTTGGGATATATTCCCAGAAGTGGGATCGCTGGGTCAGAACACAGATTCATTTTTAATTTTTTGAGTAAACTCCATACTGCTTTCCACAGTGGCTGCACCAGCCTGCATTCCCACCAACAGTGCAAAAAGGTTCCCCTTTCTCCACGTCCTCCCCAACACTTGTTATTTGTTGATTTATTGATGGTAGCCATTCTGAAAGGTGTGAGGTGATACCTTATTGTGGTTTTAATTTGCATCTCTCTGATGATTAGTGACATTGAGCATCTTTTCATGTGTCTATGGGCCACCTGTATGTCTGCTTTGGAGAAGTGTCTATTCAGGCCCTTTGCTCACTTTTTAATTGGGTTGTGTGGGTTTTTTTGGTGTTGAGTTTTGTAAGTTCTTTATAAGTTTTGGACATTAATCCCTTAACAGCTGTATCAGCAAATATGTTCTCCCATTCTGTGGGTTGTCTTTTTATTTTGCTGCTGTTTTCCTTTGCTGTGTAAAACATTTTACTGTGATGTAGTCCCATTTGTTTTTCTTTTGTTTCCGTTGCCTGGGGAGATATATCCGATAAAATATTGCTATGAACAGTGTCCAGCATTTTGCTGCCTTTGTTTTTTTTCTGTGATTTTCATTATTTCAGGTCTAACATTTCAGGTCTAACATCTTTAATCCATTTTGAATTTATTCTTGTGTGTGGTGTAAGAAGGTCTAGTTTCACTTTTCTGCATGTGTCTGTCCAATTTTCCTAACATCATTTATTGAATAAACTCTCTTTAGCCCATGGCATGTGCTTGCTTCCTCTGTCGAATATTGTCGAATATTACTATAAAGGAGTGGGTTTATTTCCGGGCTCTGTATTCTGTTCCATTGATCTATGTGTCCATTTTCATGCCAGTACCATGCTGGGGTTTTTTAAATAAGATTTTATTTATTCATTTAGAGAGGAAGGAGGGGAGGGAGAATGAGAGATACACCGATCAGTTGCCTCTCACACGCCCCCAACTGGGGGCCTGGCCGGCAACTAGGCACGGGCCCTGACTGGGAATGGAACCAGCGACCTTTCAGTTCGCAGTCCGGACCTCAATCCACTGAGCCACGCCAGCCAGGGCATTAAAAAGTTTTTGATGGATCACTAAATATAGGAACTCTGTGTAGACATAGAGGCTCCTTGAAAACAAAAATTCTACATGTTTTTGCCATTGTCTTTCAAAAAGTGCAAGAATTTTGGAGACCTGGTACCTGGCCGCTCTGAAACTACCACTGACCACTGGTTTCATTGTGTTGTCTCCAAATTTGACCCCAGCTCTTGGCAAAATGCCACGCAGAGGGCTCCACTTTGCAGAAGCAGAGCAGCTAACCCCCAGTTTTCCAGACTCTGCTCAGACTCCTTAGTTCTGGTTTCATCACCTAGAACAGCAGAGATGTTTCCAGAGCACAGACACTCGGCACCGTCTGCACAGGGCGCCTTCGAGGCTGCAAAGCCTGCTCTGTCCTTCAGACCACAAAGACTGACGGTGCGGCACGGCCGGGTTCAGTTGGCCGACCTCCCACCAGCGACGTTTCTGTCCATTTCTTAGAGGGATATTCCCGCGGAGGACAGCTCACCTCTGTTCGCATGTGCTGAGGTCAAACGTCTGTGTCCCCTTTGCCTCGCCTTGCTGCTCCCCGATAACTGAAAAGCAGCTCTGAGTGGACTTGCCCCTTTAAGGGTGTGCCACCTCGGCTCTGAGCCACTGGAGCCACGTGGTCTCGGAGAAACAAGCCTCCTTGTGAAGTCGGGTTCAGAAAGGGTTCGTTTTAATAAGGATGATAACGGACAAGCTCCGGTGACAAGGCCTATGCCACACGGCCAGGGTAATGCTGGATCAATACGGGGCAGAAGAAGCAGCTCCCTCAGAAGATGGGAAGAAATGGTGTCACTTGAAAATGCTGACTGCCTGCCGACCCTCCCGCGCTGAGACGCGGGCTGTTCCCGCAGACTCATCCATCAGAAAGAATGCGTGTGTGATTCAGGAACTGCGGAGGATGCGGCGATGTAGGAGGCTGCATTCCTGCCTCTGTGCTCCCGACCCGGGCGGAGGAGCGGAGCCCAGCTGGCCAGGCTGCAACTGGGCCACTCACCTCTCAGCCACCGTGCCCGCCATGTCACCACGTGGCCATCAGTGGTCCCAAGCACTGGGAAGAAAGTGGTGCTTTCTCCACCCCAGGGTTCCAGGACGTAGTCTGGGGCTTCATCTCGTCTACCCAACACATAATATAAGGCAACTACACCTGGGTTTTCCCAAACAACTTCTACTTCCTCAACCCTGTGGAACAGAAGCTGCCACTGACTAAGGCTCAGTATGGGGGCTGCTTTCTTTTCTACTTTCTCCCCCACCAAAATTAAAATGTAGGGGGTTTTTGATCCTCCCCCCCACACACACAGAAAAAATAGCTCAGATGGAGGACAAAGACAAGTGTACGCACCGGCACAAACCAACCAGTGAGACATTTTGCTTGCTTCTGGGTTTCAACCCGCCTGGGCACAGTTGCCTAATGGCTCCGGACCTTCACTTTTTGACCTTGAAAGTGAAGTGAATGTCCAGGTGAAATCATCTCTAAGATCCTTTTCTTTGTATGAAATCACATTTATTTGGACACTTCTCTCAGCTGCTGATCATGCATTGCAGCAATGTGCCCAAAGAGCTTCCTGCTTCACCCTGTGGCCCCCAGGTCTCCTCTCAGCCTCCCGCCCCTGGGGAAGCAGAGAGCCTTGGTTGCTCTCATTACAGCACCTCCCCGGCTTGCCTCCAGCCAAGTTCAGTCCAAGGCCATCTCTCCCCCTCGTCCCCTGCGCTGGCTATTCCTAGACTGTCGGATTCGGTGACCGGAAACCACCTCGGTGAACCCCCTCTCAGCCCAGCATCAGCTCCAGCCAGTCCCCTTTCTCTCTCTGGGCTTCGCTTCCTCCCCCGCCCCCTGCCCCCCCCCCCCCCGTGCAGCCCAGACTCTGGGGAGCATTCTGTCAGCCGCTCTCTTGCAAGCACCCCAGAGCCTGCACCCTCAGTCCTTCTGCCACATCCACATGGTCGTCCCCCAACTTGGGACCGCTCCAGCCATCCCGGCCATCTGTCTTCTCTGTCCCATGCCCACGCTGCCAGGATGGCTGCGGGGGACCCTGCTGTCAGGTGGCCCACCCGGGGCCACCGCTCATGTAGCTCCTCCAGCCCCAGAAAGGCACCCTCTGCGTCTGGCACTGAAGCACCCCCCACCCCCGCGCTCCACCTTCTGAGGCCATGTCACACCTTCTCCACAGCCACAAGTCCCCTGCTCCCTCCCTGCTACCACCTCCCTGCCAGTGACAACCTGGCTTCAGGAGGTGGTGGTGAAGAAAACCACAGGCAAACCCTGAGCTCTCTTCAGCACGTTCATTTCCACCCTGGCACTGGCGAGATGACCCTGAAACGACTTCAGGTGCATTGCATGACGGAGTAAAGTGATTAAGTGTGTTGATGTGAAGAGCCAGGGTTCTCACTCTGGAGGAAGAGAGAAATATTTAATGGAGGGAAATAAGGAGAAACACTGTGAAAATGGCTTGGAATTAGAGATATCAGTGTGAACTCATCATTTCTTTTTTTAAATATTTTATTTATTTTTAGAGATGGTAAGGGAGGGGGAAAGAGAGAGAGACAGAAACATCAATGTGTGGTTGCCTCTCATGTGGCCCCCAATGGGGACCTGGTCCACAACCCAGGCATGTGCCCTGACTGGGAATCGAACCTGCGATGCTTTGGTTCGCAGCCCGAGCTCAATCCACTGAGCTATGCCAGCCAGGGCTTCATCATGATTTCTAAAATAAGGGTATGCATGCTTATTCATATGCGTGTACGCACCTATGTATGTGTGTTCAGCGCTGCCTGCTGAAGGGCCTGAGATGAAGTGCGCTCCATGAGCAGAAACACACTTTGCACCACGATCTGGTTCTCTGACATTGTTCCCCACTAGGAGGACTCAGGGTTCCTTAGAGAAGTGGCCGATTGCACGGCTGGTCATTGTAGCTCTGAGCTGAGGGGCCTGGAATATTCTGTTATGCCACAAAGCAAGAAAGTACTTGAAAGAAGTACTTTCAGGCAAAGGAGCCAGTTTGACTAGCTTGGATATCTCAGGTGAAATAAAATATATTATTAAAATTAATTTTACCTGTTTCTTTTTACTTTTTTCTTTTTAGCAACATTTTACTTTTTAAATATATTTTATTGATTATGCACTTACAGTTGCCCCAATTATTTCCCCTTTGCCCCCTCCACCAGTACCCCCGTTCCCTCAAGCTGTCCCTCCCTTAGTTCACGTCCATGGGTCGTGCATGTAAGTTCTTTGGCTTCTT